TCACTGTAATCTACGATGCTTCATCAAATTGTTTTTCGTCAGAATGATTTAGAAACAAAGATCATCCAATATATTAGTCTAATTACTAGGAAGGAAAATAATCTTACAAATGGTTCAAAACTGCACTTGAGAACTAACTAGCCCTTGTGCTATATGTTGATTAATTCTTGCACTTTACTATCAAACATTTTATTTATAACAATTCTTTCTTGAAATTTAATGAACCTGGTAGTGAACTAGGGGAATTTTTTGAACAAGTTCTTAACAGTATGAAAACTTTAAAGCCAAATCTATACGGAGTCTTCGTTGCTGGGAGACATTCGCAATATTAACAGTTTAATGTTATACCAGCAAATCATACGGTTTGATGTGTTAGTATTAAAGCCAAACGAGGCACAAGTGATTAATTAAGACTTTTTTTTTTTACCTGTACGCCACCAGTCAATACTGCAATTCCTAAAATAGGGATTAATGTAAGGTCCTTATATACACACCCTCGAGTTATATACCCATGTATTTACCCATAGCGGTATAGCACTTTTTAAACTCTTAAACAATATTTTTGTGTACCAATACTGTAATTTTTTTTTTATTTTTTTAGGTCTTCTATTAATTCAAAATAATCAGTGTATTGACTGCAGATGTGAAGTGCTCTGCTATGTCATTTACCTTATCACCCTTTCACTCAGTTTTTTTGTTCCTGCTTTTGCTACCATAAACCTCTTCTGTGTACTCAACACTATTTTGAATCAAACCATACCCCCGGCCGGGATTGAACCCGCGGTCACAGTCTCAAAACTCCAGACCGTCGCGTTAGCCACTAGACCAGCTAGCCACAATAAGATTCGTCCAACTAGGTATATTTCTACACCATAGGAAGGTTAGCACAGGCACCACTGTGACCACAAATGCAAGTTTTTACAGACGAATCTCCAGCTAGCGTGGCCGTGACGAACTCTAGCTCAAGTCCCCTCACTGCCGTCAACATGACTCACGAAATCGTAATGACACGATTGAAAACGTTTGCAATCGTGTCATTACGATTTCGTGAGCTATTTTGAATCCATGCCCCGGACAGGGCCACAGGCGCGATATCTTAAAGGTGTCCGGCAAAGCCATCGAAGTCGCTAGATAGCAGGTTTCATATGGGAGGAACTATTTGCCAGTGGGAAAATATTGGTTCTCCTGGGCAATCGCAAATGTGGTAAAGTTGGTGAGATCACTGGCATTTTCAACCGAACCACCAACTTAAAAAAAAAATGTAAAACAAGCGAAACGATATCATATATACCATTTCCGTACTGCCTACACGTACTATTTTATTCCAACAGGCTGGCAGACATCTCTTCAACAAAATCCTCATCATTTTTCTCTCACTAGCCAATCCTTCCAACAGTTGCTCATACCTTTCACAAGTCATTTTTTTAATGCATTCATTTTCGCTTTTCGTTTACCCACTGGCCATTTTATTTTTACTCCATTTTCCTCTTACTCTGTCTACTACAAAATAGTTATCAGATATATCAGTCCCAATTATAAAATGCCCAACCAAATGCCTACCCCTATCTCAAAATTTTATCCACTTACGTGTTCACTTAGTGTTCACTTTATCTTACTTTATATACTTCTGAATCCTTTTCTTAATACATATAGACAATTATCAAACCTCTTTCTTAGCACGATTCAAATAATTTACTCTCCGAACCCCAAACTTCCTACTATAGCGCTAAAAAATACTCCTACTAGAGTATTCAAGTCTCCCCGTACAGTTAATCTCTCCCTTAACATTCACTTAACGCATCCCAAAATCTTTCTCCACCTATTTGTGGTTGCGTGCGTGTGTGTGTGTGTGTGTGTGTGTGTGTGTGTGTGTGTGTGTGTGTGTGTGTGTGTGTGTGTGTGTGTGTGTGTGTGTGTGTGTGTGTGTGTGTGTGTGTGTGTGTGTCTCAACAATCAATATTTGCACCAATAACTCATTACAGTTGTGACCGGGTGTGGAAGTGTGAATTGCTCATTATACTATAATTTGTTCATGATTGTAGCCATGTATAAACGTAAGTAACCATTCTTACAGAATTCATTGCCTTTGTAACTTGTGAGCTCATTACTTTGTACCTAGTTCAGCTATCAAAACTTTGGGGGCCCAGTCCCTGGACCCATTACGTACCTCTGTAATCTGTAAATACCTTTGTAACTTGTCATGATTGTGACCAGACCTACCTGGAGTTCATTACCTTTGTAAATTGTGAGTTCATTACCTTTGTAAATTGTGAGTTCATTACCTCTGTAACTTGCTCAGCTATCAAAACTTTGGAGTCCAGTCCCTGGACCAATTATGTACCTCTGTAATCTTTTGACTACCGCCCACACGATGGGTATGGGGTGCATAATAAACATATTAAACTAACTAACTTTACCTTCTTCTTTTCTTCTTTTCCTACTTTTTACTCTAAACTATCAAATTTAAACATGTATTAATCCTTTCTGCAATTATTCATTCAATATTACTGCCACTAAATTAAACTTTCACTCTGATACACCAGAAATTACTAAGTATGAATCAACAGCGTTGGAAGTTGGAAGTCGACCAGAAAAAGCGTTCGCAAGTTATAAATGAAAACCTTGAAGAACATAACATAAGAAAGAAAGAACATTGCAGCAGGCCCACTGGCCCATGCGAGGCAGGTCCAAGTCTCCTACCGGCTTAAGCCAATGCCCCCAACCTAGTCAGGTCAGGTCACATTCACTTAAGGAACACGGCAACTAACCTAGTAGCACAAGCTAATCAGGTCCAACTCACACCCACTCATGTATTTATCTAACCTATTTTTAAAACTACACAACGTTTCAGCCTCTATAACTGTACTCGGGAGTTTGTTCCACTCGTCCGTAACTCTATTACTAAACCAGTGCCTTCCTATATCCTTCCTGAATCTGAATTTTTCCAACTTAAAACCATTGCTGCGAGTCCTGTCTAGGCTAGATATTTTCAGCACGCTGTTTGCACCCCCTTTATTTATTCCTGTCTACCATTTATACAACTTAATCATATCTCCCCTAATTCTACGCCTTTCTAGAGAGTGCAGATTCAGGGCCCTCAGTCTATCCTCATAAGGAAGATTTCTGATACATGGGATCAACTTTGTCATCCTCCTTTGTACGTTTTCCAGAGCATTTATATCCATTCTGTAATATGGTGACCAAAACTGCACAGCATAATCTAAATGAGGTCTAATCAAGGATATATAGAGCTGAAGAACAACCTGAGGACTCCTATTATTCATGCTTCTTGATATGAAGCCAAGGATTCTGTTAGCTTTATTGTGAATACTTATGCACTGTCTTGGTTTCAGATTACTGCTAACCAGAACTCCCATATCCTTTTCGCGATCAGTAGTAGTATTAAGATCTACATTATTTAGTTTATATGTGGCATGGTTATTTTCCTGTCCAATGTCTAGTACTTTGCATCTGTCTATATTAAACTGCATCTGCCACTTCTCCGACCAATGCATCAGTCTATTTAAATCTTCCTGGAGTGCTCCATGTCCTCGTCAGAATGAATTCGACGGCCTTTTGGTGCCATCGGCAAACTTGCTTTTGTCGCTCTTTATGCCCTCATCTATGTCGTTTATGTAGATTGTGAACAGGGGACCCAACACTGACCCCTGTGGATCACCGCTAGTGACGCTTCCCCACTCTGATTTCTCCCCATTTATGCAAACTCCCTGCTGCCTATTTGTCAGCCACGCCTCTATCCAGGAAAAAATTTCTCCTATTCCATGATCTACCTCCTCAAATACCTTAGTGAAAAAAGTTAATAAATTCGTAAGGCAGGAACGCCCCTTTGTAAAACCATGCTGAGATTCGTTGATTAATTTATGCTTTTCAAGATGGCTACGAAGTGCCTCGGCAAGTATTGATTCCATAAATTTTCCCACTATGGAGGTTAGGCTTATTGGTCTATAGTTCGAAGCTAAGGACCTGTCACCTGCTTTGAAAATAGGTATCATATTTGCCATTTTCCACTTATCTGGCACCATGCCAGTTTGTAGTGATATGTTGAAGAATAAATCGAACCACTACAGGATCCCCTTTCAAGGGATGCGTAATTACCTTTAAACTCGGGTATTCCTGTAAACTTCCGGTTCACTCCATAAAGACGCACGACTTCTTTTTATTTTTAGTTAAATCAGTTCTGCATTACCATCATTACTTAACCCCTACACACATACACATTCAGCGAACCCACTGTCATTATTTTTAGCATTTATATACAATTATTATTATTACACTCAAGGTGAAGCACTAAACCCGTAAAGGTCATACAACGCCTAAGAAATGAGAGGTAATCAGGTTCCATCCAAGGAAAGGGAGGGGCACCTCTTAATTTCTTAAAAGAGCCTATCGTCGGCATCAAGGGACCCTTCCCCCCCTCTCTAAGGGAAATGATGACAGAAAAAGGGGACGACTAAGCCCCTTGCTCCCAGCATTGTAATAAAAATGAAAATGTTTATTTCCTTGCAAAGCTTGCAATGTGCGGTTTACATATTATAAAATATTAATTACAAGGAAGGCCTCTAGCATGCCCAGGCATTTCGGGCAGCTTCCCAAGACACGCAAGTGACCGGGGAAAGGGTTCTGAGCCACTTTCCTTGTGTTAATATCACAGAATTTATTAAAACTATTAGGAAATATATTTAAAATTAAAGGTAAGTGTTTACCGAGTCTAGATTTAAGTTAGCAAGCTTTACCTGCCATTTTAAAGGTTTATGCAAGAGGAAAGATTAGCGATCGAACAAAATTTTTAACAGGTTTCAATTTCTCCTTCAAGATAGCACACTAATACCTCTCTGAATGAATGCTGTCTATCTGTTCTCAGTAGTATTTGATAATTTGTTATATTTACAATACAATATTGCCACACTCAAATTTCACACGATACACCATTGTGAAATTTAAATTTTCACACATGTATATAAACAAGTAATAATACTCACCATGAATAATGCCTGTGCCACCATAATTCAAATATTTTTGTTATCTCGTAAAATATTTTTGAATAATGATAATTTCAAGAATATCAGTCGAAGAGCATCACTACGAAACACGACACAAAAATCAACTCGTACCTCCACGAGAGTTGGTGACGTACTGAGTCTCTCCAGCTCTTGTTAAACGTTTTCTACGTGACGTCAAGAGCCACAGCCCCGTGATTGCACCATGTTTTGACATCATTGATCAGGAAAATGCGTGCAATCTTTCCGTGAGAGGACATTATGTGAGGGGTCACGTCATCTAGTATATATCCCTCACCAGATTAGTAAATCTAGAGGCTGATTTAGCATATATTGCGAAGGGTTGCAGTGACAGCCTGCTAAGGCAGATTGCATCATGTTTTTTTTTTGTAGTGATTATCTGAGCTACGCATTATTCCTCATTTTTTTGTTTATGTATTTAAAATGTAACCTTTATTCTTTTGATTTTCAAGCACTGTCATGTATATTTCTTAAGTTTTCTAATGAATTATCACAGCCAGTGTGTTTTACTGTACAAATAACAGCAAGGTTATTAACCATATGTTAAATACATCACGTTATGTGGCAACCTTGAGCTATATACTATATGTATTTTATACCCTAACATCAACAACTATATACAACAAAACTATAAAAAACACTGCAGGAGCAAACGTAGTACATAGGTGTTATATGTATACACGTAGTACATTGGTGTTACATGTATACACGTAGTACATTGGTGTTACATGTATACACGTAGTACATTGGTGTTACATGTATACACGTAGTACATTGGTGTTACATGTATACACGTAGTACATTACTGTTACATGTATACACGTTGTACATTGGTGTTACATGTATACACGTAGCACAATGGTGTTACATGTATACATGTAGTACATTGGTGTTACATGTATACACGTAGTACACTGGTGTTTACATGTATATACGTAGTACAATGGTGTTACATGTATATACGTAGTACAATGGTGTTACATGTATATACGTAGTACAATGGTGTTACATGTATACACGTAGTACAATGGTGTTACATGTATACACGTAGTACAAAGCCTTGAATTACCCAACACAACACAGGATACGTTTTCTGTAATGCTAATGTGTACTCAGGAGATCATTTTTCATTCTAACCATTCACGTGGGTAGATGATGAAAAATATCTTTATGCAATCGTAAGGCAGGTGAGTGGTGCAAATACTGTTTTTATTATATTAATCTTGGGGATCACGGTAAGCCTGGGAATGGTAAGTTATAAGGTTTGTTCCCAGAAAGGGGAAAGGCAGATTTAATTCTGTGGATCAAAAAGACTTAGCCAGCATCAAGATGAGAAGACACTCGATGCTGAGTCCACCATCAGCCCTCACCCTAACCCCCCAGTTAACCCCAACACCACACCCCCATGAACAGCCTCCCCCCACCCCAACAACATTCGTCAACCCCTACCCCATCCCCTCAAACACAACCCGACCCCACAACCCATGAACCGTCTACCCCCACCAGACACCCATCACCACCACACATCCTGTCTACCTTTTCCCTTACTCATTACCAAAACATCCCATCTACCCGAACTACTCCCACACACCTAAACAGCCTGGCCACAATCATCACTCCTTCACCCCCACCCCATCTTCAAGGCCCCATGAAAACAAGATGTATACCCCACCCCCCCTCTAACCACATTCATGTCCTCATCCTTCCAATTCAATGGCACACCGGCATTCAGTTGGTATAGCGGTGTGTAGTTGACGGGCAGGAGGTATACCTATCTTATGAATTCAAATTTTTTTTCGAATAACACAACATACACGCACACATATTTAAATTACACCAAAGTGGATAGGCCACTCTCCTTTAAAACCCAACCTCCCCCTCCACCCTCCCAAACCTTATTCACATCCCATCCTTCTTCCTTCCCCATCTTACCAAAGCTCTGGTCAGAGCCTCACCTCACCTCACCTCACCTCTACCGACCAGTGATATTCTCACCTCTCCTAACTAGTGATGTTCTCACCTCTCCCCACCAGTGACGTCCTCGCCTCCCACCAGTGATGTCTTCACCTCTCCTTACCAGTGACGTCCTCACCTCACCTCTCCGTACCAGTCCTAACCTCATCTCCTCCCTACCAGTGGCGTCCTCACTTCCCACCAGTGACGTCTTCACCTCTCTTCACCAGTGATGTCCTCACCTCTTTTCACCAGTGACACCCCTCACCAGTGACATTCTCACCTATCCACCAGTGGCGTCCTCACCTCTCCACCAGTGGGGTCCTCACCCCTCCACTTGTGGCGTCCTTACCTCTCCACCAGTGGCGTCCTCACCTCTCCACCAGTGGGGTCCTCACCCCTCCACTTGTGGCATCCTCACCTCTCCACCAGTGGCTTCCTCAAATCACCAGTCGCGTCCTCACCTCTCCACCAGTGGCGTCCTCACCTCTCCTCACCAGCGATGTCCTCACCTCTGGATACCTGATGTTCTCACATCTACATCAGTGACGTCCTGGAGTACCTGGAGAGGGTTTCGGGGGGCAACGCCCCCGCGGCCCGGTCTGAGACCAGACCTCATGGTGGATCAGGGTCTGATCAACCAGGCCGTTACTGCTGGCCGCACGCAAACTGACGTACGAACCACAGCTCCGTTGGTCAGGTACTGACTCTAGGTGCCTGTTCAGTGCCTTCTTGAAGACAGCCAGGGATCTATTGGTAATCCCCCTTATGTATGCTGGGAGGCAGTTGAACAGTCTTGGGCCCCGGACACTTATTTTTGTTGTCTCTCAATGTACTCGTGGCGGCCCTGCTTTTCATCGGGGGTCTCAGTAGTACCAGTTCCTAGTAACCAGTTACCAGTAGTATGACTCACTACCAACCCTCTGTGTGAATCACTTGTTATTCACTGTTCAGCTGACCTAGCATGTTTTGAATGCCGCTACCCTCCGTGGCACTCAGCAAGCCAGCTCAAGTAGAGGCGTTAGACAGGCTGCAGGTTCAAGGCTTGGTGCTCCCCCTATATTCCATCCAACATACTAGAACATCCAATGTGAGTGTTTTTACCCCATCCACGTTTCGAACCTCACATGACAGGGGAATGTTACATCTCCTGCCGAGTCTTTTGCTTTCATAGGGAGTGATTTTCGTGTGCAGGTTTGGTACCAATCCCTCCAGGTCTTTCCAAGTGTATATCATCATGTATCTCTCTCGCTTGCGTTCTAGGGAATACAGATCAAGGATCCTCAACCGTTCCCAGTAATTTAGGTGCCTTATCGTACTTATGTGTGCCATGGAAGTTCTTTGTACGCTCTCCATGTCTCCACTGTCTCCAACCTTGAAGGGGGCCGTTAGTGTACAGCAGTATTCCAGCCTAGAGAGAACAATTGATTTGAAGAGGATCATCATGGGTTTGGCGTCCCAAGTTTTGAAGGTTCTCATTATTCATCCTATCATTTTCTTAGCAGATGAGGTAAATACATTGTTGTGGTCTTTGAAAGTGAGATCCTCTGACATTATCACTCCCAGGTCCTTCACATTTCTTTTTCGTTGTATTGTATGGTTAGATTTGTCGTATACCCTGATACATTTTTAATTTCCTCAAGTTTTCCATATCTGAGTAGTTGAAATTTTTCCTCGTTGAACTTCATATTGTTTTGAGTGGCCCATTTGAAGATTTAATTGATGTCCGCTTGGGGTCTTGTGGTGTCTTCGATGGAGATCACTGCCATGGCAATCCGGGTGTCATCCGCAAAAGGAAGACACGGAGCCATGGCATACATCTCTTCCTCCGAAATGAGGATGAGAAATAGAATGGGAGTGAGTACTGTGCCTTGTGGAACAGAGCTTTTCACCGTGGCTGCCTGGTACTTTACTCTATTTACTATTACTTTTTGTGTTCTATTTGTCAGGAAGTTACAAATCCATCTACCAACTTTTCCTGTTATTCCTTTACCACGCATTTTGTGTGCTATTACACCATGCACCATGGTTACACTTGTCGAGAGCTTTTGCAAAGTCTGTATTTTGTTATCCTCAACAGCATACACGACCTTGTCATAGTGGTCCAGTAGTTGTGACAGGCAGGAGCGACCTGCTCTAAACCCTTTTTGCATTGGGTTGTGTACTTATGGGCATTTAGGTGGTTGGCGATCTTGCTTCTTAGAACCCTCTCAAAGATTTTTATGACACGGGATGTTAGTGCTATCGGCCTGTAGTTCTTTGCTATTGCTTTACTGCCACCTTTGTGTGTGCGCTGTATAGCCCTTGTGGCTTAGCGCTTCTTTATTATAATAATAATAATAATAATGCCACCTTTGTGGAGTGGGGCTATGTCTGTTGTTTTTAGTGTGTGTGGGATGACCCCTGTGTCCACGCTCCCTCTCCACTGAATGCTGAGGGCACGTGATAGGGTCTTCTTGCAGTTCTTGATGAACACGGAGTTCCATGAGTCTGGACCTGGGGCAGAGTGCATGGGCATGTCATTTATTGCCTTTTCAAAGTCTTGTTGATCATAAATCCACACTATGTATGAATAATAATAATTAATATTATTCTTATTCTTCCTCTTATTATTATTAACGAACATATATAAAACTCTCACGTAGCGTACATTTTCCAGAAAGATGATGAAATATTCCTGTAAGTTCTCCCTGTCCCCCGTTGTCTTAGGAGTAATATCGCATGTGATGGTATCTATATATATATATATATATATATATATATATATATATATATATATATATTATATATATATATATATATATATATATATATATATATATATATATATATATATATATGTCGTGCCGAATAGGCAGAACTTGCGATCTTGGCTTAAATAGCAACGCTTATCTTGCCATATAGGACAAGTGAAAATTTGTGTATGCAATAATTTTGCCAAAATCATTCTGAACCTAACGAAAAAAATATATTTCACTGTGTTTGTTTAGTATTAAATTACTGTAAACAAATCTAAAATATATTTAGTTGGGTTAGGCTAAAATAAATTACGCTTGTTATAATAAGGTTAGGTAAGTTTTCTAAGATTCTTTTGGTGCAAAATTATAATTTTTTACATCAACATTAATGAAAAAATATATCTTTAAACGTATAGGAGAAAATTTTAGA